CTCCTCCCTCAGCCTCCCAAAGTGCTGGGATTCCCAAAGGTGAGCCACCATGCCTGGTGCTCTATTTTCATATATAGCTTCCATGCTCAGATTCTAAACATTTTGAGGCTGGGGCTGCCTCCTCTGTATTTACCGTGGGCGCTGCACGTGGTAGCCACTCAGCAATTACATGGATGACTCCAGGTTAACCGCAAGGCAGGGTTCTGTGCCTGCAGTTTCTGGGCAGGTGTGATTTTAGTCTTTACCAGACCAGAACTTTTCAGAGGACAGGACCGTTGTCCTCCCCTTCTTGGTAATATCCATAGTGCTTAAGACATCCCGAATGCTATCCATGGAAAGATACCAGCTGGCTGATGATTAAGTGTTAGAGCCATCTTCAGCCTCTGATCAATTTTGGTTGCCCTGAGGATGTCCTGGTTCACAGTAGAACATAATTTAAGCAGACTCAGCTCGTCTGTTTTCTTATTTTGGACCTCCGAAGGGTCTAGAATCAAACATACTCATCATGAAACCAGGTGGCCCTGGTCTGACCCGGCGTCTGGAGGGACTTGTGAAGCTGCAGATTTCTGTATGGGAAACCAGCATCCATCCGGGATGTTGAACTGCAAATAGCCCAAGCCTGTGCCTTTTGTACTTCAATTAGCATTTTAAGGCAATGGAAAAAGAAACATAAATATACTAGTTCAAACAAGTATGGGGGGGGTGAGGAGAAGATGCAAATATTTCAAGTGAATAACTTTAGACTTCAACTACGGATACTGTGAAATCAATTCCCTAATTACATACATAATAAATCATTTCCCCCTCAGCAAGAAAACTAATTAATGAGCAAAACACAGGCAGACTCTCACCAACCCTTAACAGATGCTTCTGTAGAATTGTCAGGATACCAGAAAAGATCATTTTCAAAGGAAGCAAGTTCCAGTTCCTTCCATTTCCAGTGTTCCTGCTCTAGGTAACCATTGCTATACTTAAAGCCACAGCCCCCCGGAAGGAGGAGAATCGGTGCACAGGGTGAATAATTCAGAAGCAGTAAGCTATCAAGTTGCTCCCCTGTACTTTCTCCACAGAATTTGGGGGTGGTGGGGGATGCAAAGGATCTCCGGGAATGATTTCCTTCATTTCCTCCACAGAAAAGACCAGGCAAGGAGGAGATGCCAAAACCAGGGACTGCGGACCTCACAAAACAGAGGTTGTACTTTTAAGGTTTTTTCTTCTCTTTTATTGACTAGCCAGCCTCCAGCCTCACAAAAAAAAAAAAAAGTCCTGTTACCCCTCTTGAATTCATTTGTGCTTTGTTTGTTTGTTTGTTTGTTTGTTTTGAGATGGAGTCTCACTCTGTCGCCCATGCTGGAGTGCAGCGGTGTGACCTCAGCTCACTGCAGCCTCCGCCTCCTGAATTCAAATGATTCTCCTGCCTCGGCCTCTCGAGTAGCTGGGATTACAGGCACGTACCACCACACCCAGTTAATTTTTTTTATATTTTTAGTAGAGGCAGGGTTTCACCATGTTGGCCAGGCTGGTCTCGACCTCCTGATCTCAGGTGATCTACCCGCCTCGGCCTCCCAAGTGCTAGGATTACAGGGGTGAGCCACCGCATGTGTTTTGTTTTTGATTTTTGGGACAGTCTCACTCTGTTGCCCAGGCTGGAGTGCAGTGGCACAATCATGGCTCACTGCAGTCTCAACCTCCCAGCTTCAAGCGATCCTCCCACCTCAGCCTCCCAAGTAGCTTGGACTACAGGCACACATCACCACACCAGGCTAATTGTTTTTATTTTTATGTAGAGACAGCGTCTCACTTTGTTGGCCAGGCTGGCTGTGAACTCCTGGGCTCAAGCAATTCTCTTACTTTGGCCTCCCAAAGTGCTGGGATTACAGGTGTGCGTCACTACCCCCAGCCTTATTCTTTAACTTGGATAATAAATACTTTTTGCGCCTGCCTAGGCTCTTAAATGTTCACAGGAGACTTACAAGGACTGAGTGACAGATTCCTCCCAGGCTTCTAAGCCACCCCGCCTGAAGCTGGCCTCAGGGATCCCTAAACGTCACCACCACTGCGGCCTCAGCACCCACTGTGCAGCCCAGCCCCTCTGCAGTGACTCCCAGGTCCTTGTGACTCTCTCCTCTGTCCTCCTTCTGTTAATGAACTCTCCGGTGTCACATAGCTATTCATGCCTTCTTGGCTCCTTAACTAGACAGAAGACTCTCCGTAGGCAGGTATAATCTGAGTGGGTCTACTCATCGGCAGCTGTGTCTTCAGACTAGGCTAGTTTCTAAGAAATTAGCCCCTTTTCCCAATGGTCAGGCTCTAGCTGCTCCTGGATGATTCACAACAAATGAAATTCTGTGCAACTAGCAAGAGCATGCAGCTGCATACAGGGTGTTCTAGATGGGCAGGAACTGCAACCCCGGTATTGCAAAAAGAACTTGTGTCTAAGGGTAAGAAGCGTGAGTTCAGATTCCTCTGAAAGTTCCCTGCCTAAGTCTTTGTTCTAGCCAACATTCCCAGGACATTCAGTTAATATGAAAAAGAAATAGCCCTCAACCTATTTGTTTAAAAAAATCATTAAATAGCTAACACGGACTGCACGCCCGCCAGGTGCTCAGCACTGTTCTAAGTGCCTCGTGGGTCTCATCTTACTTTTCGTTCTCAATGGCTCTATCAACAGGCACAGCTGTCTATTTCTATAATCACCTCTGTTTCACAGAAGAGGTGACTGAACGCCCGGCCGTGAAGCAGGTGCCCACACTCATGGACGCTGTGCCAGGAAGTCCACCCTGCAGAGTCCACTCCTCCCCTCTGCACCAGGCCAGCTTTCCTACACCTGCACCAGCACAAAAGGCTCTTTTCCTCATCCTAATGAACCTTCTGATCTAGTTAGTCACTGCGGGATGGGTGGAAGTTATCAAAATTTCCTGGGTGAAAGAGAATAGAATTTTTTTCAGTCACTCCTTCTTACCCTAATAATTCCAAGTTGTGATGCCATACACCTCCAGGGGTATCTGGTCCTTTATACAAGTAGCATCCCCTAGATTGGGGCAAGGTGGCAACCCAAGGCCCTGGCCTCCTTCTTTTCTCTTTCCTGTTTGAGGATCAGCATGTGTTATTCATTTTGCCATTGTAGAAGCACAAAAATGTTTGAGATCCTGTGTTCCCTAAGTGCCGCGTGACTTTAAATTCTTCAGGTTGTAAGTAGCAGAAACGAACTCCAACGAACCTCAGCACACACAAAATATTTATTTATTCACCTAATAGGAAGGCATCCAGGGCATATACCTGCTTCAGGCACAGTGTGATCCAGACACTCAAACGATGTCATCAAGTTGTGGTCTTTTAGCTGGCTCTGCTTTCTTGCATATTGACGCCTTTCTCTTAAGATGGTCATCGGATGTTTTGGGTTTCATGCTAGCAATTATAGAAGACAGAGAGGACCATTTTTATACGGTTTCAGCAACAGGACAAGGGAGGGCTCCGATGGACCAGACAAGGTTATTACCCTACCCTGAACCAGTCATGTGACCTGAAGAATATGAAATTCCAATTGGCCAAGCCAATGTGCATTGGCTCCTGTGGGGAAGTCACTCCCATATGAACCCACATGAAATGGGTTCTTCATAAAAAAGAGAAAAGGGATGGTGAACAGAAAAAAACAAATTCTAATAGAGATCCTGTCAATGCACATATCAAAACACATTTAAAAGGCATTCCCAAATTGCAACATTCTCTATGAGCAATATTTATTCTTTGAAGAATCCAGTAGACCAGGCAAACTGAAAAGGTGTTCAAGCAGGTTTGTGACCATGGATGAGTCAAATCCTCTCTCTGAGCCTCAGTTTTAAGTGAGTAAACTGGTTTAAATAACCATTAAGAAGCTTCTTTCCCTTAATAAAATACATAATTTAAGTAGTGTTCACAATTATAAAAATACCAGCTCAAGAAATGACTATATTGTACTGGCAATCAAAAATATGTTTTGTCCCAGCTGCTAGATCACAGAATTTTGTATACTTCTTTAATGACTTTCACAATCGGAATCACAAGTTAACGCAATGACTTTCCAAGCAAAATGCCGCACTTGCTCGCTGCAAAGGTTTTAACGGTAGAAGATCACACACACAGCAGCTGTATTTACAGCCTGACTTTGAAATTTGGGAAACTTATATGTTTCCTGGAAAGCTATTTGGATTGTAGAGGATGACAATTTTGCTTTGTAGATCCATTCATCAAATGAAATCATCATTCTTCAGTTATTTTCCGGGAAGAAAAATAATGACATGTACCACATTATGTTCAAAACATTTTCCATTTAGACCACATTTCCAATCTGTAGCTCTATGAATTCTAACGCGGTACAGAGACTCATATTGTGAGATAAAAGGCATTAGGTACTCAACTGAAGTCAAATGCAAGAATAAGCCACGTGCAGTAAGGAGAGTCACATATTTGTTGATTTTGACCTAAATTGTTGAAATACTGTTTTTAAGAAATTAAGCAGTCAGATGATTTTTCTATAAACGGCCATTCACATGTGAAAAGCTTTACCATATCTCAACCACGTTTGAAGAATAAATTATAAAACTCTCATTTTGTCTCTTAAGTTTTCATTATACCATTTTAAAGTCAACTTTCATCCTTGCTTAAAAGGCATGGATTCCAGATGTATGTTTGTTAAATCCGGTAAGGACACACAACAATATCTGAATAAGACATAAACATATCAGTCAAGCATCCAGATGATCTGTTTCTTCTACAAGCACTAATGACAATGTATGGAAACTTCCAGAAATTCAGGACCACATAGCTGAAGTATAAATTCAATCAAACTTGCTTTCTCCCCTCAGCCTATGAACCCCTTCAAGTCTCCAACTCTCTTCTTCAACTCTCCTGTGGTTTCTCGTATCAGTTATAATTTTATCACATAACACTTAAATTTTGCATTTGACTCTGCGTTCCCTTTTTCTAAGGCATACCTTTTAATATTCGTAAATGAAAAAGGTGGCCAGGCACAGTAGCTCACGCCTGTAATCCCAGCACTTTGGGAGGTCAAAGGGAGCAGATCACCTAAAGTAAGGAATTTAACAGCAGCCTGGCCAACATGGTGAAACCTTGTGTCTACTAAAAATACAATAATTGGCTGGATGTAGTGGCGTGCACCTGTAATCCCAGCTACTCGGGAGGCTGAGGCAGGAGAATTGCTTGAACATGGGAGGCAGAGGTTTCAGTGAGCCAAGATTCCACCACTGCACTCCAGCCTGGGCAATAGAGTGAGACTTTGTCTCAAAAAAAAAGAAAAAGAAATGGGCCGGGCGCGGTGGCTCACGCCTATAATCCCAGCACTTTGGGAGGCCAAGGCGGGTGGATCATGAGGTCAAGAGATCAAGACCATCCTGGTCAACATGGTGAAACCCCGTCTCTACTAAAAATACAAAACATTAGCTGGGCGTGGTGGCACGCGCCTGTAGTCCTGGCTACTCAGGAGGTTGAGGCAGGAGAATTGCCTGAACCCAGGAGGTGGAGGTTGCGGTGAGCAGAGATCGCGCCATTGCACTCCAGCCTGGGCAACAAGAGCGAAACTCCGTCTCAAAAAAAAAAAAAGGAAAGGAAAAGAAGAAGGTTTGGGGACACATAATTGGTAGCACTCAGCTCTTGCACTCATTCTCAATCATGTTAATATTTGGCTACTTTGATCTGTGGTCAATAGAAAAAGTACAACTTCCCATTGACCTACAGCTGAGATATGTTGCCATTTTAAATGACAGCTCAGAAGGAGTAGCCTCCCCCAAACCTAGAAATTCAAGCTTTTCTTAACTGACTGGGTGAAAAGAATGTCATAGAGGCATAGATCTTGCTTGGGCTGTGATGATTGTTGTTTTTTCTGCTGCATTTAGGAAGCATACTCACCATCATTCACAGGTTGGAGTCTGAGGTCTAAGGATGAATAAAATACTCCAAATAAGAACAATGTAATTATGTAAACTTGATTGTGAGTTTTAAAACAGCAGTTATTTTTTAAACATTAGTTGATATGCGTCACTTCAAGTCCAAATTCCTACAAAAGGGATATTATTCTCAACACGTTTCCAGCTCAATTTTCACTATATCTGAAGCTCTTATGCAGCATACCCTCTTCAAACATGCAAGACAACTCTTCGTCTTATTAACCTCTGAAATCTGAGGCTGGCTCATACCTCTTCCTTCTACTCTTATTTAAAATACATAACTAAGTAAAATTTAAAAAAAAAAAAAAAAAGATGAAATGAAATAAAATATGTGACTGCAGATTCTTCCCCAATGCTGAAAGATAAGAGGTTTAGATTTTTTACAACTAATCAAAATCTAACTGTAAAATAAAATTGAGATTATTTTTGGTTTTGTGATTGTCATTAATCTTATCCACTCCAACTCATAATCATTTAAATCCTGCCTCTACCTCTTAGCCATAATTGCCACTCCCCTAATTCAGAATCATTTCCTGCCTAGCTTATTCCTGCATCAGTAGGCTAACTGGAGTCTCTCCCAGTAGTCTCGCTCATCTACAATCTGTCCTCCTCAACATCATTTGGAAAATCCCTTTAAAACTGTCCAGAGGGGTCCTTCTCTATCAAATAAGCATTGGGAATTGGTTGCATTCTACAATTTGCCTACCCATTTTCCATTTCCGTCCATCCTTACTAATAGAACTCCCAATTTGTGTAGGGTGGTAATGTGTCCAGTCGAAAATATTTATTTCCCCAGACTTACTGTGACCAGTTTTGGCCAATGAGATGTAAGTAGAAATCTTTGCATGGCACTTCTCGAAAGCTTTATTTTCCTAATCAAATGGGACACTTGAAGCAGGCATTGCCCTTTTCCCTTCCTTCTAGTTCCTACCTGAAATGCAGCAGCAATGGCAGAAGTCATGGTAGCTGCTTTAGTACGTTCAGGAAGGAAACCACCCACAAAAGTGCAGGAGCAGAGCAGTAGAAGTGGGTCTCGTCAGCACCTTTCGATGTCACATTGACCCTGGCTACACTGAACACTGCTGGCCTTCTCCTTTATGGGAGAAAAATAACCTTTATTTCATTTCACTGTAACTCAGATTTCTTTCCTAGGGGACAAACACAACTTATCTGATAAAGTGGGTCAGAATAAAAGCTTCATGAAATTTCTTCCAGGTCAAATGCTCAACCGTTCAAGAATTCCATGCAAATTCATGTTATCACTGGGATTTAATCAAAGAAAGCTTATGCCAGATTATCTTCTAAAACCATAATGTTCATTTCTTCACTATGGAGTAACATCTAGAGACCGTTTTCCTAAGTACAGCTCATGAATACCCGCCCTTTATCTAGAATAATCAAGGTAACAGAAATACAGAGAGCATTTATTCCATTCAAAGCTTTATTCTATGCACTGCAGAATAATAAAGGAAGTAAAATATAGAGCCCTTACACTTAAGAAGCTCACAATCTAGTCGAAAAGATAAGAAATAAGGATAAAAATAATTGTAATGAAAAAGATCAAGCTAAGAATAGAAAACGTAACACAGATTGACTTTTTTTAAACTATATAGACAATAAGAATATGAAAGAAGTTTAAATCAAGAAGAATCCCTTTAGCCGAATGTTGAAAGAAATTATAAGCATTAGAAGTTGTTTTTTAAATTTTAAATCTACTGGACATGGCAATGTAGAGAATTCATAATTAGAAGTCTCCCCTCTCTTTCAAACACATGGCAATGATAAATAAAATATAGGCCAGGTGCAGTGGCTCATGCCTATAATTCTAGCACTTTGGGAGGCCAAGGCAGGAGGATTACTTGAGCCCAGGTGTTTAAGACCAGCCTGGAAAACACAGTGAGATCCCTCCTCTACAAAAAATTAAGGAAAACCCAAATAGCCAGGTATGGTGACATGCAGCTGTAGTCTCAGCTACTTGGGAGGCTGAGGAGGGAGAATTGCTTAAGCCCAGGAGTTGGAGACTGCAGTGAGCTATGACTGTACTACTGTATTCCAGCCTGGGTAACAGAGTGAGACCCTTTCTCAAAAAGTAAATAAATAAAACAAAATATAGAAATTAAAACCAAAAAATAGTTTCAACAACAAAAGAAAGAGAGCCGCAGAAGAGGGAAATGAAACAGGAAGTTGAGTGAAGCCACAAGCCTGTGGGAGGTGGTGGCCAAAGTTTGGTACCTGTGGGTCCCAGGAAGTCAGGCGTTCTTTAAGTCACATGGCCAAGCAGGGATAGGCTTGAAGTCAGAAGCTGGGATGGTGCTTTACGGTGGAATATAAGGGAACAGTACCAAACTCCCCCTTAAAAACAGACTGGAACAAGCTACACACCTGCAAAAGTAGACAAGCCCAGACACAGTCTCATGTCCAAAACTTAAGTAAACTGCCTGCTGGTCCTGGGACAAAATTGGCACTCTCCTTACTATGACTTGGAATAGGAACGCCAAAAATAACATCATAATACCTGGTCTGGACTGGGGCCCAGAGATCTCAGGAGAGAAAACTGAAAAACCCAACAAAGGGAAGTAAGAACAGAGAGAAATAGAAAAAAAAAATTAAACATAAAACTTACCATTTAAAATGAATCTGAAAGTCTAAATTTGAAAAAGTGTGGGGGGAAAATCTAATACAAATAGAATAGTCATAAAATTTTTTACATGGAAGTACTATAAATGTTTGCATTTCCCAAAAATTTGTATGTTAAAATCCGAACCCCTGATGTGTTGGTAATTGAAGATGAGGTCTCTGAGAGGTGATTAGGTTATGAGGGCAGAACCCTTATGAATGGAATCGATGCCCTTATAAGACCTCAGAGAGCTCCCACCCCTTCTACTATGTAAGGTTATAGCAAGAAAACACTCTCATGGAAAGTCAGAAGCAGGCCTCACTGGACACCCTGTCTGCTGGTGCCTTGGTCTTGGACGTCCCAGCCTCCAGAACTGTGGAAAATAAATGTATCATTTATCGTCTGGCAGGTAGTAATGTTGTGTTATAGCATCCCAGATAAACTAACAGAAACTGGTACCAGGAAGTGGGAGTGCTGTTGTAACAAATACCTAAAAACATGCCAGTGGCTTTGAGACTGGGCAATGGAGAGAGGCAGAAAGACTTTGGGTGTTCATGCTAGAGAAAGACTACCTCACCATAGGTGATTGCGGAGTGAAGACTCAGAAATAAAGTAAGACAGCTGTAGAAAAAGCCTCAATCTTCTCAGAGAATTCCTGAGTAATCCTGAACAGAATGTTGATAGAAATATGAACCCTTAAGGGCCATTCTGATGAGGCCTGGAAAGGAAGTGGGAGGAAAGATCTTTGTTATAAAGTGGTAAAAAACTTAGCTAAATTGGTTCTTGTCCTCGTGTTTTGCGAAAGGTAGAACATGAGAGTGACGAGACTGGAGATTTGGCTTAGGAAACGCTAGGGAAAATGTTGAAGGAACAACCTGGTTCCTCCTGACTGCTTATAGTAAGATAAGAAAAGAGAGAAATGACTTAAAGGTGGAATTATTAATCAAAATGAAAAAAGAACTTAGAAGTGTGGGAAATTCCTTGGCTGCTTGGGAATGTATTGCAAAAAATGAGAAAGTGTGTTCTGAAGAAACACTAAGGGTGTGGCCCCATGACCATTTGATACGATCAGTCAGCCACCTCAGCCAGGTAGTACTGTTCAAGACAATAGATGAATGCAAAGGAGGGGGCTCCACTGCCTGTGGAATGTTGGTGCACACTGCCCAGCACCTCCTAATATCACAGACTCCACTCTCCATGTTCCAGCACCAAGCTCCTCAGCCATCTCAAGCATGGCTCTGGTAGACCCAAGTATGCCACAGGTCATGATGGTCATCCTTCTGGAGGGCACAGGCAGCAAACTCTGGTAGCAAACAAAGAATGCTCAGCCCCGAGGACGTGGATGCCTCCTCCTAGATTTCAGAGGACAGGAGAAATATCCCTTGGAGTCATGGGGGTGGAGTCCAGGCAGGGGTCACCATTAGGAAAGAACCTCCCAAATCCATGGGGCAGACCAACCCAGAGCCTTCAGGGCTCAACTTCTTCCTGGGAAAGCAGTAGGGGCAGGACCACAGCCCCTCTGTGTCCAGAAGACAGACTCTGGAAAGTGGGACCTCCATCCCATCGAGCCTGAAAAGCAGACCATCAGACCTAAGAAGATCAATCTCAAGGCTTCAGGCCTAACGGATTTGCCCTGGTGGGTTTTGGCATAGAACCCATCACTTCTCTTTTCTTTCCTCTGTCTCTGTTTTGGAAGGGGAATGCCTGCTTTCTGCCTGCCCCACCATCATGTTTTGGAAGCAGGTAACTTATTTGATTCCACACGCTTATAACTAAGGGGGGATTTGCTTCAGGATGGATTGTAGCTTGAGTTGCACCCATATCTGATTTAGATGACATTCAGATGAGATGTTGAACTTTGAACATTTGAGTTGATGCTGGAACAAGTTGAAATTGGGG